TTTGGTGATATTTTAGAATTTATTAAATTTTAATTGGATTAAATTCTAAAATATCACCAAATTCATGTGATAAACCCAAATTATTAAAACCGGTTCCAACCTCTAATGTGTATATACACGGATAATAAGAAAGCCAATCAGATTATACGATCAGATGTAATGCAAAATTATTGCTTTTTTTAAAAAATCGATTATAACTCAAAATTTCGTTTATGAAACAACCTTTCGGATATTAATAAAAAAAATTTCTTGCGAAATTTTGGCATAAACTATTTTTCATCATCATCACCAGTTCACCCTTATCCTAACCTTTAATTGCGCTTAATTTTTGGTTTTATATGAATTATTTTGATTTGCATATTACACAAATTTGCAAATTAATACCCATGTACGATACACTATGTGTAAACTAAGAAATTTTCTATACAAAAAAATATATAAAATTTCTATAAGATTATATAGTTAATATTTATATTCTTATATTACACCTCCTGTTATATACAATATGAGACAGCTAAAGATATTCACTTTTTATTTTATTATTAAAAAGGTGCCAAATTTAGGTGAGGTCACTATAAAGCATCCACTTTTTACTAAGATGTGCCAAATTTAGAATAATATAACACAAAAATAATTAATTTTTATTGGCTTATACATATAGATTAGCATTAAATTTTTGATTTATATTAAAATAGACAAAGTTTAAACTGTTATAATATTGTTAAAAATAAAAATAAAAAAAAACCTCTTTCAAAAATATAGTTTAGGTTACAAACTATCAATTTGAAAGAGGGTTTTTTGATTTAATAATTTTTTGTGAAGTTATAACATTTTTAAATTAACTAATTAAATGTGAATATTTTTAGCTACCCTGTACTGTATAAAAAAATTAACCTTAACTATCTAATTAATAAAATTTTATTTATAAACACTAGGAAATCAGGATCTAATAAATGTTTGAAGCAAAAAAAATTTTTTATTAAGTAAATTTAAATTACAGTAGTAAACAATTTTTTTGTAAAACATATTATATTTATTTGATATCAATATATAAACTTGGTTACACATAATTTGCAGATCTTCACAAAACCTCGAATTGCTCAAATTTTATTGGTTGCTTTATTCAGATATTGTATAGATATGTATAAAGTTTGCTTATGCTGTAATTATTCTCATTACATTTTAAACAATTATTTTTTTAAAAGAATATTACTAACTAATAGTAAGCATTATTAGTATGTAATTAGCCAATAAATTTGCAAGATTAGATATAATGTACAAATCAGTTTGTATAATAAAAATAATAAATTTTTCTAATATCTTAAAAAATTGTCTATAAAACTAGTGATAGTATTTAAGTTGATATCTCTCAGGTTATTTGCAGATAACCAGATATTTGAGTTATGAATTTAGTTATTCAGATAAGTATACTTAGATAATACTCAGATAAGCATATCTGAATTGAATATCTGGGTTGAATTATTAAAGCTAAATATAAAAAGAGTCTAATAGTTATATAAAATATTTAATTATTTCTTAAAATTAATAATTAACTGAAACAACTGAATAATCATTCAACAGATTTTTATATTTACAGTTATTATTATAATTTCTAGAACATCTATATATTATCTGAATCTTTTTGGTTGTTTAGTAAATTATTTAACTCTCTGAAAACTACGTCACTGTTTTTGAACCTTCAATCTGAAGACAATGATATAATATCTGGAAAGTTAGATAATTTATTAAACAATTAAAATATTTTGAGTAATGAGCAGGTGTTGTTATATAATGAAATATAATAATATAGTAATTAGTACTAGTGTATAAATAGAAATACTCTTTTGTATAATATATCTATTTGTCATATCAATAGTTATTACATATATTATATGTCCATCTATACTATATATAATCCTAAATATAAAAAATTTTACTCTTGTGAATACTATGAATATATGATTTTCAACACTGATTTTCAACACTATTTTATTTGTCAAAATTTGTATAATTCTTCATGTTATAATATAAAATTAAAAGAAATGGTTATAATTCAGTGTTTATCATGAAACAGTTGTGTGAGTTTTGACACTTTTGGACAAATAAAAATATTAGCACTATAAAAATATATATACAGTAAGACCTCCCTAATTGCACCCCATCGGGCCATAGTCAAAAAAAGCAAAACGTGTACTTAAAGAGAGTGCATTTATAGAGAGCAAAATACTTATAAGTTGGGGCCAAGTTATACCGTGCATTTAGAGAGAATTTACATAGTGCGTGCACTTATAGAGCATGCACTTAGAGAGTTCTTACTGTAATAATAATTTTTTAGATTAAAAGTCTTGAAAATATTAGACGTGACAACACTGGTTATAATGTTACACAAAATATCTATAATAGTCGATTGATTACACAAACAAGAAAAGATAAATAAATAGCACGTTTGTTTTTCTTTATTCCAATACCACTTTGTCAAAACCACTTTATATTTTAATACGAACTTTGCATACGTAAATTTTTTTATAATCAGAGTCAATCTATTATAAATCCGTGTTGACAAACTAAATTAAATATTGCTGATATAGGCTGAGAAGACTTCATGAAAAGTTCGCCTGTCTTTAATGGTAAAAGATAATCTCTAAACAGTCCTAAAAATAAAAAGAATTTCATATATATTAAAATGCCCAGAGTCGCCGTCGATGGACGTGGTAAAGACCGTAAGGGTCTAGGTAAAGGTTTGGGTAAAGGCGGAAAAGTTTCCGCTCAACGGCATAGAGTAAGTACGCGCTTCAATTTGTTTTACCCAAAGATTATCAAAAAAAAAAGGGAAAGTGAGCTAACACATAAATGATAACGTTGCTGCATCATGACAATTGTCATGTAGTGACGTTGATCATGATGTGAAATCTCAGCCGTAAATTTAACCTAATCGAGTAATCTGTTGATTTTTAGAAACTTTTACGCGAGAACATCAGAGGCATCACGAAGCCGGCTATTCGTAGACTTGCCCGTCGTGGTGGTGTAAAACGAATATCTGCAGATATATATGAGAATGCACGTAGTGCTTTAAAAGATTTCTTGACTGACGTTCTTCGAGATGTTGTTTCTTATGTCGAATATGAACGAAGAAAAACTGTTGGCGTAATGGAAATATTATTAGCTCTTAAACGAAGAGGGAGAACTATGTATGGCTTTGATAGTGAAATACGAAGTGGGAGACTTGCGCATTACCAATATTAAACAGAGCCCATTCTAAGCATTCTACAAATACTTGGATATCACGCCAAGTTAGAGAAAACGACTCGGCGATCGTTGTTAACGCCGAGTAATGATCTTTTTTATATGAACATTTAAGCTTTTAGGTTTGTTTCGATCCTTGTAAACTCCTTTCTAGTAGTCTATAGAATAGAACTACACGACTGTATATATTTCAAAGAAGCAAAAAAAAAAAAAAGGAAAAATCGCAGTACTTTTATAACTATAAAATTCATAACTGGTAATCTAGCATAGACGATGCATTAATCACATTCAAATGACAGTTAACAGATTCATCCACATCGAAAATACTGAAATGCCATTAAATTTATAATTTGATGTGATAAATGTTATACCAAAAGAAATCGCTCTAAAGTATATTATAGCCTTCAACAATGTATGAGTTCTTCTCAAACAATTAGATATCTTTTCAACCCATTCAATTTAAAAATCTTAAAACGCTGTTCAACACATAAAACCCATTTTCCCAAGGGACAAGAAAGAATGTTTGGACAAAATGCTTCTTCCTCTTATTTTTGCTAGAAATGCTGTCAGGTGAAGAATCAGCTATGGCTGCATCTTCAGGATTACTGTCAACAGCGGCAATATTCAAATATTCTTGTGAATTATAGTTATAAATCGACCCAATCACTTGAACGAACAATCCTCTATGTGAAGAAGGTTGTGTGTCAACAGAGGAGATGTCTGCGCGGCTATTTTCTAAATGAAGTTGAGAAAATAGTTGTTTTATGGCCTATTTCGGAATCTAGCATTAACAAGATGTCTTCGGGAAAACAATATCACGTGATACGTGCCGTTCACAAAATTCAATACATACTTGTTGTCCAACCACTTGCGACACACAGCCATTTCCTCGAACACCTCGAGTAAATCTACTATTACGTCCATAATACAAATAAAGATCGCACGGTCTAGTTGTAAGAGTTGCGTAATAATTATGTACAAAAAACCATCCAATATCTGAAGCTGAAATTTGTTTTCCTGTAAAATTAACTGACGGGTCGTGTGGAACCAAATTCATTTTTATTTAATAAGAAAAATCTCTAATCATAAGAGAAATCAAAAAATAATGTATTTAAATACAATATTATTTGCTAATCAACAATTTCATAATTATTTAGTCACAGTGATTCAAATCATGCGCAATTATCGTTATGACGTTTAACTAAATGGTTAAATGTCGTAATCAAAATACTCAAAAGTTCTTTTAAATGGGTTTGGTACAAAATCCCGCTGGCACATACGTACGACGTAGGTAATTTACTTACGCATACTAAATTGTCGTGATTTAACTTTGAAACACTAAATTCTGACAAATACAAAATCCCGACAAGTACAGAATCCTGACTATTAACCTTAATATTTACATTTTATTATCAAAGTTCTGTACTTCGGGTTTTGAACTGTCGGGATTATGTACTATCGGGATTTTGGCATCGGGATTTTGTATGGCTCTCTTTAAAATATTTTAGACAAAACATATGTAGAATTATATACTAAACAAGTTTGCTTAAAAGGTCAAAACAGGTTATTTTAGTATAAAAAGGTTGGATATTCTATAGAATAGGTGGGCAAACTCTGCCAACTCCGCAACTCCGATATTAAAAAATTAATGATTACTAATCATTAGCGAAGCTTATTTTTTATATTGCCCACCTATTTATAGAACATCCAACCTTTTATTACTTTCTCTCTAGATAAAGTTTTTAGGGTGTAATTTACATATAATTATTATTTTAAGGTAAAAAGACATGATTCTACATATAGCAGCCAATTATATTTAGGGTTTTTTGTATTTTTTATTATAAAAGTTAAAAAATTCTTATTGGATAATAATAAGTAATATATTATATAGTTATATGTTTAATTTTAATTGGCTATTCATATAGGGCTATCATGGTGACCTATTGTCATTAGGGTTGTGGATACAGATAAATTTTAAGCATGCCTTTAGAGAGCATGTCTTAGCTAAAAACATGTTTTTTCTTATTGTATAATCATATTGTAATATTATCAAATTTTATTAGTCAATTTGTTAGTTAAATTTAGAAAATGTCTATTTTCACCATGGTATTTTGCTATTTCTACCATGGGTACACAAAAATTACTATTTTTAACATTTAATATAAAAATATAATAAATTAATATATATATCAACCTAACACTGAAAGCAAGTTAAAGATTCAAGCCTAGAAGTCAACAACAACTTGAAGTTTTCTCAATATGAACTGTTGTTAACGAAGTCTTTAAACATGATACACCAAGGAGCGGGCATTTTGGACGGTTTGCAAAGGGGTCAAGCCTTGCTTCTCTGCTATTTCTGGGGTGG